TAAACTGCCAGGAGCACTTGCTAATTTAGTAGTTAATGACAGTCACAGAGAGTGTTTTTCTTGCCCCTGGAGAGGTTTTAGACACAGCTGGGGTAGATTTGCCACTATCAATTATGCACAATTTTAAACAAGAATTGGCCAGCAGGGGCCTCTTTTTTTTTTGCAGAGTGTGGAGCGTGAAGAATGGGAATATGGCAGCTGGTACCTGCCTACGAGGGAGAAGATATATAGGAGTCAAGAAAATAAGGGAAAGATTAATAGCTTACTATTTTTAAAGTTGCAGTTTCAACCCAAAAGTTTAAATGCTACATTAAAAGTGGCCTGGTGTTGTGTTGTGGGTTTGTTTTTTTTTTTTTAATTGAAGCATCCTAACTTTATAGAAAGGCTTGATCTGGCTCTAGTCTAGCCACAAGCAAGTCAGTAGTGTCTGTTTTTAAAAGCCAGCTAGGGAGGAAGGATTCGGTCTCAGATACCATGTTGCATTATCTTTTAATCCTTAAATGAAGACAAAGTATGAATTCAGTTAGATCTAATGGTATAGGTCAAATTTCACAGACAATAATTTTATAAAAATGGCTTGGCTTTGGGCTTCCCTCCACCAGTGTCAAGCCAGAACAACTCCAGGTAATGGGAAATGCCAAGGATAAGCATCTGACCTAAGTAAATGGCTCAGGTCTAGAACAGTCAACATCTGGATCTATCTAGGTCAGCCTCATAAAACAGCAATGTTTAAATTACAGGACCAAAAGGAGTGGAAGGCCGTGGCTTGCAGGCAGGGTTTTAGCTCTCTCGAGATGTGAAGGCAGCTGGCAAGGCAGCGGAGCCATGCCGGAAGGTGACAGTCAGTACCCAGGAGGAGCGTGCCCTAACCCCTAGCTCCGTGGTAGCAGAATTGGGGCACACAGCACTTGCTGGTCTTACGACAACATTCATAATTTTTCCATGATAGGTGCTTTAAGTCGGTAACATTATATCCAGAAAACAAGAAAACCGCCACCAAAAAAATCCTCTTGAGGACAACTCTGAGAACTGTCAATTGTTAATAACTTGGATTAACTAGGTTGGTTGCCATCTGGAACAAATGCAGTTCAGGATTAGATCAATGCTGTTATGTAGCTCAAAAAAAACCTTTCTTCACATATTGTATGGTTGTGACACATTTTTCTAAAAATGCTGTCTCACAATCAAGCATGAAATAAAACTACCACCCATACTTTTACCTTCTCCTCTCTCCGTTTGTGAAGAGAAGCCAGCAGGATGCCCTGGTGACCTCTAGGATCTTAGACAACATTGTCTGAATAGTCAGAAGCCAGAAGCGATTGGAATACCCTGTTGGAATGCCAGATGGCTGGTAGGAAAACAACGTTGTGTTCCAGCTGTTAGAGGCCTTATATATTTCATCGTCATCTGAAGGCAACTAGTTCTCATTTGACTAGGTACACAGTGAAGGTGTCATCAACATTATTCATTTGTTGGAATTTAATCTTTCTAATGTATCTGAAAGCTTAATAGATTAGGTAAGTGATGTCAAGTACAATGAGGAAGAGGCAGGATTTTGACAGAAGATTTTTTTTTTCCTTTTAACATTTGTGCTCATGGTTTTATTATCTGCGGAAGCTAGGTGACAGGACAGGACCTCCTCTCACGTCCCTCTCCCAGGAGAGAGAACAAAGGGGAGAGGACAGAGCTTTGCTTACGCATCACTTGGCTTCAGTCCTGCCTGTAGCAGCAATGTTGCCACGCAGTGGTAGTTAGGGGGACGTTTGTCCTCAGAGACCTGGGCTGAGAGGCTCTACCGACTTAAGACCCCAGAGCACCAATTTGTAACTGGATGCCAGTGGTTTTTCATTGTCTCTAGGTCGGTGCTGAGCATGAGGTGATGCAGGAGTGCGGGTTCTTGGTGAGTCTCTGCCCAGCCCTCCCTGCTCTGCACCTCGCCTTGCTGCTGAGTGACGTTACTCACCTGTTGCAGAGCTGAACTAACAACTTGCCAGCTCTGAAAGAGAAGCTGCACCAGATGCTAATCTAGCAGTATAATGTAGTATACTTTGATATGAGGCTGTGTTTCCTTGCCTCCCTGTCTACCAATTCTGATGACATCTGTTTCATATTTCCCCTTGATAGAAGTTGTGACACATTACAACATACAAAGCCTGGCTGATTCCTAAAGCAAGCTTTACAGAGGATGCATTTATGTGAAAAAAATGACACTCAGTCTGTGAAAGGGGCCAAGCTCTGCTTGGAGACGAATCCAGTACTTGTAGGGACCCATTCCAGTTACTGCTGTAAATGCTGGATCAAGGTCGTGGGTGCAGCCCTCTATCTTATGAGGATTTCCAAGAGAAATCCAACAAACATGTTACCTGGGCAGCTGGAGGGCCAAGTTTGTGATGTGATCAGAGTCATAGTAGCCTGAGAATGGGGGAAATGTTGCTTAGAAATACCTTGAGGAGCTGAAGGAGCTGTATCATATACCCAAGGCTAACACTTCACAGAGAGTGCATACATGTAAATAGGCTTTACTCATGTGAGTAAGCCTCCTGGGGCTGCATAACAGACTGTGTGTGGTATGTGTCTCCCTCAAAATGATAATAAAGCTTTCTAATTGGGAGTATTTTAAGTCTAGACAGTAGATCTGTCAGTGTTTTTCCCCTTCATCTTTTTTTCCTGCTTTTGAACGATTCTAAACTGACAGCCCTGGGGAGTGTTGTTCCCTCTTATCCATGGGAGATGTATGGCATGGCAGGGTAAGGCATCCCCCCTTCCCCTGGAAGGACCATTGCATCAGGAGTTTGTGCTGTTGTACAGTATATTCTGTGTGTGCCGCTCGCTATATAACGCACGTGGGGAAAAAAAAATCCGTATTAGCAGGGATGTCTATAGTCTCCCACATCTTCCCCCTACACTCTTCTTTAATGGTGACACCAGACTGGATAATAAGAAGCATCTTGTATAAAAAAGAAGGGAATCGCAGACAAGGCTTTCAGGGTTCATTTTGTTGGCAGCTTTTTAAGTGGAGTTTTTTAGGCTCTTCTGTTTCAAATACCATAATACTTTTTGAGTTAGTAACTATGAATTACGACAAGCTTTCTTGATATGCCAGGTTATAATCCTTTAGTGGTTTTGTTTATTTCAGAATATAATAGGAAGCCGTATCAATTATCATGACTGTATAAATGTTGTTCCTCTCTACTAGAATATTCATCTTGAGACATATCATCAGATGTTACCTGTTCTGACAATCACGTTTTTGTGCCATTGTTGGGCAACAGAAACAAAGAAAAACAAAATGTTAAGAGTGTAAGGGATAAAAGAGTGTTGAAACTGTTGTTCTTTTCCTGTCTTTGGAATCTCCGAGATCTTGAATGTTTTATTCCTGGCTGTTATTTTGTTACCACAGTGTGAATAGAAGTCATTATCTGTAAACATTTGAAAAGAGAGATGATTTTCATAACTTTAAATCCTACAAAGGATTCTAGTAATCTGCTATGTGCATGCCAAGGTAAAACTCAGCCTTTCATCTGGTCTGATCCCACCCAGTCAGTGTAAAATGTTCCTTTGGTGAATGTCTAAAGCATATAGTATCTTTTGTGAGAGGCAGACAGAAACAAAAACAGGAAGCTTGGCCTTGAAGGCAGCAGCAGGAGAAGGTGTATTATAAAGAAAGATGTATTTACAGCCTTCAGGTCATACTTAGTTGTTAAGAGTTTATTTTCGTAAGTTTTCGAGGGAAGATTTATTTTTTATGTTGGTCTGCGTTAATCACTGAATGGGATCTTTCTCCAGATCTGCTTTAGTCTCCAGTAGCTGGGGGACAGGGGACTCAGGTCTTCTCATTCTCAGCAGTTTGTTGAGAATTTTCTGCTGAAGAGCTTTTGAACTAGAATATAAAATTAACAGGACCATTATAATGAACCAAAATGCCAAGGAGGAGTCGATATGAGATGGGCGTAATGGTTTCTACACAACAGTGTAATGTGACTGGGGTCAGTAGTGGTGTATATTGTTTTCTGGCTCTGCATCCTTGATTCAGATCAGGGCTCTTGTGTAAACTGTATGAAATGGGTTGGCAAGTCCCGCTCCATCCTCTGGAGAAAAGCTCTTCATAGCATGGAACCCACACCACTGGCACTGAGCATCTGACTTTTTAAGATGCTGAGCAACTATGTCTTGTTCCGACTCAATGGGAATTGCAGATTTTGATCTTAAAATGAAGCATTAATATTTCCTCTTCAGGTGGACTCGACAGCAAGGCTGATTGTTGGGTGGGTTATGCCATACTGAGCTGCCTTCCTTGCCCTGGCGCTGTTCTCTGCAGGTCAGTGCTAAGGGAAGGGACAGGGAATTCTCAGCATCATAATGTCACATGTATTAAGTCTTATTATTCGTTCTGCTTTTAAGGATGCAGGACAGGAGGACTCACACTGTAGGGCTGTGTGGGGAGGCAAGGGCAAAAGAAGTGGAAGTGGACTAAAACAGCAAGAGAAAAATCCCTTTCCTGGGCACTGAGTTGTGCAGGGCTGTTATTAGGGAAGAATGCATAATACTGGCAGACAGGCTCTTTTTCTGTCCTTGACAGGAACAGTAGCAATTTTTTATTTATCTTTTGCAGAATGTCATTATGTTTATAATTGTGAGTTGGGTTGAGAAGCTGGATCCAGAGAAAGTTGAGAGGTAACTGCTGGATTGTGACTGGACTATGATAGAGCCTGAGATAGGCTCCGGCTGTAATTCAGTCACTTCTGTCCACTGAGCCCTGCCAGTGCATCAAAGAGCTTCTGCCTTGCTGAACTTGGAGACTAAACAAGATGTAAGGAGAGGAACCAGAGAAGAGAGGTCCTGGGCATATGCTACTGGTTTCTGATGCTTCAGTTTTGAGTGGCACTGACACTTCCACATCTGTGCATGCCATTTGTTTGGGTAAAGGTTAACTCATACTCTGAAGGTCGTAAGTGATGTTCTCAGGATGTTAATGCACTTAACTGTTGTGTTTTCCATAGGGTATTTTTCTTTAATCTCCCCCATGACTCCATCATGGAACGACTGTCTCAACGGAGGACTGATCCTATCACCGGGGAAAGGTTAGCACTCATGTCTGATGTTTAACATTTTTCAAGACTGCCAGTGAGATGAAAGCACCAGATAGACCTCACAGAAGTCTGAGGAAACTCAGGAATATTGTGCTTTTGCTTAGGGATTCCTTAAAAGAAAAGTTAAAACTGTCATAGCTACTCTAGTACCAACCCACCTACCTGCTGCAGCAAGCTCCGGTTGTCAGAACAGGACATTTTACAATCTTGGAGCCTGAAATCTACAGCAGCAAGCAGCTCAGGTCTAACATTTTAATGGTAACTAAATTGGTTGGTAAAATAATGCTGAAGGGAAGATGTCTGAAACCTAGCCTAAATGCAGCTGGTTCTCAGACATTCCCGTGGGCATTTTGAAGGCTTCCCAGCTGCAGAAAATGGAAAACTTGCTGCATTTTACTTCCCCCAGCTCCTGTGATGGTTCTGTCTGCTCTGAGATATTAATATGTTTCCTGCTCAGTAGAGCAAACTGAGTCACTGTAAGATTGGGTTCTCAGATGTGGCACTTGACCCCGCTGGCCCTCGCATCACCCTGCCTCACCAGTGAGGTTTACTGTCTTCTCCACCCTTGTTTTTTGGGGAACAAGTAACGGTGAAACATCTGCTGGAATTGGTGTGGATTTGCAGTTTCACTTGGGCTCTGTTTTTATGATTCCCCACACTTAAATTGTAAACCACTGTTTTATTTTTCTAATGGTTAAACGCATCCTATTGAATCAAAGACAAATACTGAACCCTCAAAGATTAACGCCATGAATACTGGATTTGTCCCAGAGTGATACATGATTATTCAGACATCTCACTCGAGGTGCAACATTAACTTGTGACAGCAACAGTGCTTTGCTGTAACTGTTCTCTTTGTTTTAGTAACAAGTGATCAGTTGTTCAGAAGTATGAAGCAAATCATTCACACATCTTTGCATTTCTTATCATTAGGATTAGCCTGTTCAGTATCTGCTCCAGTTAACACGCTTCCTTCTTCCAAACTCTGGGTTTTATTCCTTCCAAATTCATCGCGAATTGAATTGGTTTAGATGCTGTGTCTAATCCTCGGCATTATGTTAAACCTGCGCTGCTGGCTACAGTGCAGCGAAGAGGGTGGCCTTCAGCTGTGTTCTAAAGAGTTCTACTGTGGAATGAACTCTGTGTCCACACCGTTGGACCAGCTGGAGCTGCAGTGCAGTTCTGTGCAGAGACAGAGTCTCTGCTTCTCTCCTCTGTTTTGCATCTATCCCAACAGATCAGAAAATTTGGCTGTACAGGAAGAGGGATAAACTCTTCCTGCATTAGGGTAAGGGAGACTTTTACTCAGAAGTAGAATTACTGTGGCAGGAAATTTAAATAGATGTTTGCAAAAGAGCTTTTAGCGACTGTTGGGAGCCTTTGGTGATGCAGAAACATTGTCAGAATTCTTTTGGTGTCAGCTGCCTGGGCAGGCGGAGCTGGAACTGTGGCACTGCTGCATGATTCTGGTGATGAAAACCTCTGTTTTGCAGAAGCCTGCTGACTAGATGAGTGAATTAACAATTGTGAATTCGGGGAAGCCAAATTCTGGCATTTTGGAAATTAGAAATAACCAAAACCTCGGAGTGAATTTGTATCTTCAGCTACTATAAAAAGATGTTAGGCATTATATTCTCCGTGTTATCTGCCCAGACCGAGGTGGAGTATTTGTGTCGTCTTAACTTCTTCCAGTGATCTTTAGCACTCACAGTATTAACCCTCCTTGTAGTGGCTTGCCAAGAGGAATCATACCTGCCCTTCAGGCCCCGGCCTGTGGTGATCTGCAGACTGTCGCTCACTGGAAGCGCTCACCCCCATGCCCTTCAGCAACGCCTGGACACAGGGCTGTTCGGGCTCACCGATTCAATGCAGAGAAAGCACTCAAAGTTTGGCAGGTTTTTTCCTGACTAATGTCCAGCATCAAGCCTAACAGTAAATATATATTTAACAGATGCTAAGGTTTAAGGTTAGGCTTTTTTAGATGCTTTTTTTAAAGATAGGAGTCAAAGATTACAAGTAAAACATGTTACTTTGGGATTGGATCTGGAACAGATCTGGAAAAGCTTCTGAACCTGGAGCACTGGGGGTGTTACAGGGATTTCTCCACACCCTGTGTGAAGGATATAAACACTAGCAGCACTCTCTCGGTGTTACCTCAAGAGAAACACTTGGCTTTCGAGTACCCAGGATTCTTGAGAGCAGGAACGACAGATTACTTGCCCTGGAATTTCCAATCATGGTTTTAGAACCCCAACCTCGAGTAGAAAGAGGCACTTCCAAGGAACTGTGATAGGCAAAACGGAGTATCTTAGGAAGTGGTTGCTGTGTCCCCAACTTGAGCTGAAGCTGTGGCATTTATCTCCTCTCCAGATATCACACTACATTCAGACCAGCACCCACACCGGAGATCCAAGCCCGCCTCAGGCAGAACCCTAGAGACAAGGAAGAAAATATTGGGAAGCGTGTGGAAGCCTATAACAGGAACGTCAAGGAACTGGAGGAATTTTATGAAGATGCCTTTTACGTCAATGCTGACCAAGACCCTTATACTATCTTTGAGTTTATAGAAAGCTGTATCATAAAGCCACTTCCATGCAAAAAAAAATAAAAGATCAGAATTAATAAGGATGATTTCTGGAACAGTTAATTTTAAACTTTTCCCTGTAATGTTTGCAGTCTGGTCACAGAAACAGTCACGAGTGAAGAGGAAGCCAGCCAAGGGAAACAGAGGCCAGAAAAATGTGGAAGCCAAAAACGGGGTGGGAGGCCAGAGGGAAGCAGAGGCCAGAAAAAAGTGGAGGCTGAAATGAGGTGGGAGAGGCTTCTTTTTCTTTTTTTTTTTTTCTTTCTGGTTGGCTCTGGCTGCAGTAAATGCTCAGGTAAGTGTTCTTAACTGGAAAGTCCTTGATGAAGAGCCCAGCGCTCTGTTAGCGAGCTCAGACTCTGGCTATGGAAATGCACATTCTGAATGCTTCCAAGAAAGGGGCGTGATTTGTTGTGGTTCAGAGGAGCACTGAGTTTGATGCCTTTGTTATGTCTCCTTCTCTCCTCCCTTGTGTATGAGTGTGAATTCCCCTTCACCAGGGGATGGAGAGGAGCTTCAACTTTCTCCTGGAACCCTCTGTGCGTGGAAGGATGCAGGAGGCACGTGTCTTCTCCTTTCAGTACGGCCTCCAGGAGCCTTTTGGTTTTAGGTGACTTCTCGGATACTATTGCTGTAAGTAAGTTTGGGTCTTTGTTGCTGTCCCTGGTGGTGTGTGTCTGGGTCTATATGGGGTGCTGTAGAGATGTACGTGCCAAATCTCCTCCTTGCACCTGTAAGTTCAGGTGGGAAAACACTGGTTATCCAGATGGGGACGTTGTCTTATTTTCGGAGAGTTTAAGGGCAGAATTTTCAATACCTTTGGGGGGTTTGGTGAATGGGAATTGGACCTTCCAGCCGTGAGGGCAGCTTTAACAATCTCAGAATAAATATCTTTGAAATCTAAGAAAGCCAAATCCTCTGGCATCAGCAACACAACTCTGTGCCTCTTGCACTGAGAAATTCCAGCTCGTAGTGCCAGGCTGAGGCAGAGGCTGCTCCCACAGCACAGGGCCCAACCCCAAACCCTCCCGTAAAGCTGGGCAAGGGCATTTATAACAGTCCTACCTGTTACAAATGTGCTGTTTGGTAACCTACTTGGGCAGCTGTTTTTTTATGCTGTTGCTATAAAGATATGCTGTAGCATGCATGCATAATTGGGAGCCCTTCTATTAATAATACATGGGAAGCTCATCTTGCTAATATCACCTTCATCTGAGTGTTCCTACTAAATATTTTGATAGATGAAATGGACAGAGAGTGTATTTAAATACTGTTTGTACTGCAGCTAGGGTACAAAAGGGACAGTGCATCTTTAATTAGACAGGTACATCTGCTTAATTAATTTAGCTGTAAAGCCCTTTTTCCTCTTCATTCTTTCATCTATATGCGGACGCTATATTAGTTCCGCTCTGCTGGTTCCATAGAAACTGAGAAAAAGAGCTCGTCTCATTGAGATGCGCTTGGCATGTCTGGGTACGGAGTCTCAGGTCAATGGTCAACCCCCAAGGGTTTGCAGCAGGCCTGAAGTGCAGAACGTAAGGGTTAGCAGAACATGCTAATACTCATGTAGAACTCTCCCTCAGAAACAACTAAAACAATTGACATTCATTTAATTACTGTAAACGAAACAGCCCCTGCATCACTTTGCATAGTAAAGCCTGTTAATACCAAAAAGGTTCAGTGGGTGGAAGGAGGAATTAGGCTTTTATAATTGGAATGCAACACTTGAAAACCAATTTGGTAACTACGCTTGATTTTATTAGCATCTTATTCTGGCAAAACAAATGTTGAGCAATGAGAAAAACAAGGTAAAGAGGAGGTGGGAAGAACGCAGCAGGGACCAGACGTTACTTATTGTACAGCTTGCCCAGTTCTGAAATGCACATCTTTTATCACTCCGCTTTCCGAAGACGCTTTGCTGAGAGGGCTGCTTGGAGGTTGTGCTGTACCCTATATATTATGCTGTTAATTACGGAGTTCAGCAACAAATGAGTGTGTCCAACTGTTCCACAAACTTCCATGTCCGTCTGCTCCAAACAATATTCAGTGCACTGCTGTGGAGGGACGCTGCAGCACCCCCAGGGAGGAGACACCCCCCCGCCGCAGCTCCTGGCAGATTTCCCCTTCTGCCTCCTTTGCTGTCTCGCCTTTCCCCACAAGGCTTGGGTGCTGCTTGGGTGCTGCTGCCAGCACAGAAACAGTAAACGTAGCTGGTTTTGCCACCATCCGTTCACAAGGTGCTGTGGAGGCTGCGGGACTGTAATGGAGGGGGAGCCAGCCAGGCGTTCGTACAGGTCCTTAAGATTTGGTTTAGAGCAAAGCCAGGCTTGGCAGGTTCCTGTGCCTGGGTCCTGCTTCCCAGAGGGGCAGCTGGAGCTGAGCTGATCTTAAGTAGGAGCGACCTGTGGTTATGACCCCAGAGCTGCCCATCGGTGTCGCAGTTGACAAAACTGAACCTGAAAGGTGGCTCTTGCCTTGTCATACGGACTTCGTACAGAAAATGGGCTATTCCCCTCTACAGGCAGGCTCTCCTGGGTTATTCTCCTCTTTCTGCAACAAGAACTACTTGATTCTACAGAAGAAAAGGTGATGTCAGGCCCCTTTCATCAAATAGGTTGATTCTTTAGTAGGATTGTTTTCTGGAGCTGGAGTGCTGCCGTGCGGCGGTCCGGGAGGCCGGGAAAAGAGAGGTTGAACTACACTGGCGAGGAGAAGGGAAGGGTTGTGTGGCTGCAGGGCACTGTCAGAGCCCAGGTGCTCTCCCAGGCTTCACCACCGGTGTTCTGTGACAGTGCTCACAGTGAGATTTTTATTATTAAGCTTTTCTTTAAAAAAAAAAAAAAAAAAAAAAAAAGCGCAAAGGCTTATGCTGAAGGACTGAGTGCTTAACTACACTGCTCTTGCCAGTCTCAGCTCTTGGCACCCCACGCCCCTCCCAGGAGTTCAGTCCCTTAAAATACAGACATTACAAACAAGTACTTTATTTATTTATTTAGAATAAAAAAGGAGCAGGATTACAATGCTACTGTTGCAGTATACAAAACATTCATCCAGGTTTGTTTCACGTTTACAAAATGTGCCATATACACAGCATCAATATTCACAGCAACTTCGTCAGACCCTCGCAGGAACTAAGTCTCAAAGGAAAAAAAAAATCCAGAAACTAAAGATTAAAACTCAACTTTGCTTTTCATTCAGGCTGGTGACTGTGCGGTCGGCCAGCTACAACACCCACACCCCAGAACGGAATTAAAGTAGCATGAAGAGATCAACTAGATTAGCAGAGCAATTAAATTAAATTCTCCTTTGTGCGGTTCCATTTGGATGGCTCTTGGGTTTTCCCTTCTCAGGGCTGGCTCCTAGTTTCATGTTAAGAATGCTGCAGGGCTGGCACAGCCCTGAAACTCCTGCTGGGGGCTCTCGGCGGAGGTGAAGATGCTCCAACACTCACATCTGGGTTGATACAGGCGCAGCCTAGGCCAGCACAGGGAATTACTCCGCTTTCGGTAGTGTAGCTGATGCTAGTAAGTGCCCTGTGTAGCAGCACTTAGTGTGAAAACAAGCCCCCACGTGACAGAGCAGCAGGAGTTCCAGGTTGTTTGAGTGAAGAGGGGTGAAATCTGAGTTAGCATTAAAAAATAGTGAGAATGAGAGTATTCCACCTGACACCAAGGGTCTGGGAACATCTCCAGAGTAAAGGAAGAGTTAGAACTGAGTACAGCCAAAGATTAGCACAAAGGGAAGTTTAAGTGAGAGTATGTATACAAGGCCCTCCCCCCTCAGAAGTGAAAACTAAAGCTCTTGGGCATCACGTCATAACCTCTACAAGTTGTGAAAAACTCTCCTGGGCTGAGACTTCCAAGAGAAGACTCGACTCCATCCTGTTGAGACTCCTGTACCTTGGACAGATAGGACAGGACTCCAGCTGAACAGAGCCAAGCTCAACTTGTCCTTGTTTACCCACACGGAGGAAAAAAAAAAATCAGCTTTCCAGCCTGGTATTTGCCAGCAGAGCTGTACACTAGCAGGTACCTCCATGCGGACATTTGTACCAGTTCTGGTTAAAGAATAAACCTGCCCCCTGCGATGGATAACCAGCGCCGTCTGTGTTTACAGGCCTGATAGAGAAAGCTTCAAAAGGGAATATCAGGGGGATTATTGGTAACTACTGTCAGCATCTCACCTTTATTTACTGGGAACCCATAACACCTTCTTCCAGTTAATTTAGATGCCCACTATAAATCTTTTGCTGCAGCTACAACACTTTGAGGCCAAGACTGCTATCGCCTTACTTCCAGCTGCAGAAGTATGAACGAGTGCTCTGCAGTAACAAATCTTGAAGTTTATTATATTGTTAAGCATTATGACTGCTACTAAGTACACATTAATAAAGTGACTGCCAGGAAGAATTCAATAACCAGCATGAACGAGGTTGTAAGATGCCAGCAAGCACTTTGTCGTGATGGACAGCAGCGAGCACACGGCGGGCTCTCACCGACGTACCCAGCCCCACTCGTGTGGAAAGGCAGAGACCAAAGAGGCACCTTCCTCTTCCCGCAGCCACCGTCCTGCCCCCCCCGAAGAGAATCTCCTGGTGGACACATCTCACTGGCCTTGCACACAAAGTTTAGAGTTGTCAAAAGAGCAACAGCCTCAGTGATGAACCCCACGGCGTGGCGAGGGATCGGAGGAGCACGGAGGGGCTTCCCCTCCCTCTCTCCCTGATGCTGTATCTGTAGGTGGCAACTGAGACTCCGGCAATCGTGCCTGCGAGGCCACTGCTTCACAAACTGGGCAAGTCATGCAAGGAGGGCTCCGTGTTTGAGAAACTACTTGTACAAACAAGTCTCCTGTAAGTGTTAGTTTAGGGCAGAACAACACAAGTGTGATTTGTTGGCCTTTAACTAGGACTATAAATGTTTGCATTCAGTTCTTTTACATCAATAAACCCTCAATGAGGATAGAATAAATGGAGTTATGCTGCCCACAATCACTGATGATACATTAGCCAGTGGAAAACCTGGTAAGTTGAAGAAAATCAGGGTTGCATTAGCAACCATAGTATCTCCTCCCTAGAAATACACAATAAAATTAATAGGATGGGGGAACATACAAAAGGAAAGGCTGACCGAATGATGAAGTCCCCAACCCAAAGCTGAACTGAGGTAAAAGGCAGCAGTGAGTTCCACTGTCACCAATTCCAAAGCAGGAGGTGGAGTTTGGAGACCCAGGACAGAGCCCTCATGACCCCAGACGTTCAGCTGAGCTCCAACAGTGGCATCCAGCACCAAGGTACAGTGCAGAACTGCCCTGCTGAGGCATCACACCTGCACTCCTTCAGCCCAGCGGAGGAGGGAAAAACTCTTGTTATCAGCGTGAGTAGCAAATCTTAACTGCTGTCAGAAGCTACTTATCAAGGACAACGCCACATTAGCTTCAGACACAGAACACAGCATCCCTGGCTATTAATTCTCAGACGCAAGAGCAAGTACCACAATTTAAAAGAAAAAAAAAAAAAAGAGCAGCAATGCATTGAGAACCGCTTAGTTTCTGCTGAGGCATAAACAGCCACAGTGTTTATTTTACCTCCAAATGGCAAAGCAGTTCAGGAGAGCTTCAATGATTCACTTAGAGATCTGTCAAAACTTAGTGAGATAAACTCTCTGATTTTGTGGAATTTGTTCGTTGAATACTTCACCTGGTGTCTCAGATCGGACTGGGCCTTAATATTGGATAGCTCCACTACGTATCAGTTGGGGAAGGCAACTCTGTTCATGGCAAAACAGCTCGTAGCTTCCTCACCCACTCACCTCCGCCGCGTGGGGTGAAAGCGAGGGGTCTGGTTAGGACACCGGGAGGGATAACGCATCGAGGGGCTGCCGCGGCCCTGCAGGTGCTTACAGAACTCCAGCAGGAACGGGACTAAACCTCCACATTCCCAGAACTGCAAGTCATGAGTCCAAGACGGATAAAAGGTTTCCTGAAGGAAGTCTCTCAGCTGTTAGCTGGGCAGAAAAATCCAGTGAGATCAGCATCAGAGGTTAAATGTTACTGGTCTGAGGTGTGCTGTACTACTCAAGCCTACACTAGTTAAAAATACATTTCGGGACCAGTGATGGTTTAAAAAACAAAATTAAATCACAATACTTCTTTACCTGTTGTGAATGAGTCAGGGTGAGCAGTGAAAGCTTTGTGCTAAAGGATCTCCACTGGCATGCAGACAAAGCCGACATCATTGGCTTTAAAATTCCATTCTCCCAGCAGTCATAAATCAGGTTAAATAAACTGGCAATGGTATACTGAGTATCTACTGCCTTGAAAGACAAGGAAAATAAACATTAATGCTAGGTGTACTAGAGCTCCTGCATGTCTAAAGCATTAAAACTCAACCCAGGGAAATTCAAGGGAACTGCTGAAAGTAATCACCAGGAATTAATCTAATGATATCATCATGCTGAACCTTTTGGTCAGCCAGACTTAAACATTTCAGCAGATCAGGATATTATCATGGTTTCTAAGCCAATATCAGAGAAATGTTCTTTGACTTTTTTTAAAAGCACTTACACGTGGTTCTGGAGAGCTCTCTCGCCTTTTCCAGTCAGGTGAGTTTCAGAATCAGAACACTGCTCGGGGCTGCCTGGACAAGGGCCTGCAGCTTCCACTTCAAACGTTTTCTCTACCACCATGAATAAACCTGTTCAGCTTATATTGGAAACTGATGTCCCCCCAAAAAAACCCATCAACACTGGGAAGAGGATAAATGCTGCCCAGGTACAGTACCTGCCCCCAAACTACACACACGTTAGCTATCAAGGTTACTCTTTGCTTTACTAGATGCTATCATGATCTACATTTTCTGTCTTTGCAGACACACTGAAGTAATTTCAATTTTCAATGCACAGCAATAAAAAACTAAACATTTCTTTAATACAATTATGGTACCACTTCCAAGGATATTTACAAACAAGGCTAATTATTTTACAGATGAATGTGCTTCTGCTGTTCTGGGCTACTATATTGATATTCTTCTCAGTCAAAGCACTGTCATGCTTAATGCATGAAACACTGAATAATAAGGACAGCTGACTTGTTTTGATGTTAGCTGAAAAAAATTTGCTCCTACTAAAGGTGAAGGAACATTAAGAAAATATGCATAGTCATTGAATCAAGGAAATGAAGCACCAATCCACACATGCATTGCTGGAGACTGATACTGTCAGGACAATTCCTTGATTTTTCAAATAGCTACTTCACACACAATTAGAAGTGTCATGAATCACAAACAGGGCAACACGTGAGTGTCCAGATCAGTACTCCGAAGAATGTAAATACATAAACTTTGGATTATTTGACAACATGGATTTAAGTTAACAAGACAAACTGTACTAAATAACCATAAACATTTTGGAGGTATTATTCCTCTAACACTGCATAGGAAGTCAAAAAGGATTCTCCTGCTCCCCCAAGGAACTAGATGCCAAAGAGAGAAAGATTTTTTTTCTGATAGGACAGTTAAAAGGCAGAATTAATTTCTGGGCTCAGCCATGCTACATCACTGGCGTATTTATGAACCTCTTGATGAGAAAGTCGAGGTTATACAAGAATAGTTTCACCACACTCCGTGACCACCTGTGGAAACTTTACCTGTAACATGTCAGCCATGGTGGTGTTTGGGTTTGGGCTGTTCTGTTTGGGTTTTTTTTTCACTGCGTCATTATGAAAAGAGAAACTGTCAGCTGGGAGTGATTACTTGTGTGCCAAACTTCTGTAAAACTCGATTACAGTATGAGGCAGACTCAATTCAATTGAAAATAAGATAAATCGATGTTTTTGGTGACTGGACACTGGAAAAAATTATTCCTGTTGGTAGAGGGTTAAAGTGAAACAAAAGGCATACACATTGGCAAAAGCTAGGAAGTAGTTAGAGCTTAGTTCAGAAAAAGAAAGTGGGGCAAGAGACTTAGAGCGTTGGAAATTATATATATATTAGTGTTTAATCTAATTGCTATTAGTTTAATAATTATTACATTTAAAAATTATTCTTACTGATCCATATTTGACTCAGGCAGCCAGTATTACCCTTCTGACTGCAATACTGTTAAGACTTAAGAGGCAGTTAATCTTCTAGACTTTAAGTGAAACTAATATAATGGCCAATTTCTTTCATATGGCTGTAACTGGCATACGCTTCACTCTGCAAGAAATTAGAACCACAAATTATTTCGATAGTTTAATATTCTGCAGCAAATGCCAGTGCTTGTTAAAAAGCAAACGAGCACACTACAAGCTGAAGCCTTCTCTACCCACCAAGACCATTCAGGAGGCAGCTCCGCTGTTCCCATCGGGGCAATCACCCGCTGTGGGGCGGGAGGGACAGTTCACAGCTCGTCCTTAAGACTTCAGTTCCTTTTCAGTAAAAGGAAGCGTGTGCTGCCGCTGCCGCTTCAAGGGGTGCATTCCCAAACCCTTTATAAACTCGCTCTTCCAGGTGCACTCCTGTTTCTGGAGCATGGAACAGGCTCTGGACTTAAGGAGTTCCTAGAATCTCCGATGTATTTACAGGGCCGTGGACAATGTCTTCGCTCTCCAGTAAAGTCTGTATTCCTGTGCTCTGTATCCTTCAAGACTGAAGGGACCTTATGCAGTAGAGAAAATACTTTATCTTTACATAGCTTTTCTCTAGAACACAGGAGAATCACAGAACGTGCAAGGTCCTTGCAATAACCTCTTGATCCATTCAGGATCTGCAAATAAGAAAACAAGTTGTTTAAAGCTGGAGGTAGAGGAATGACACCCGAGATGAACAAACCAAATAGTAATCCTTAGACAGTTTGTATATATTCACCAGGCAGGATTAACTGAGCATTCAGAGGACTCCAACTCCATTTCCGTCATGAAATTTCAATTAATGCCAGTTTAAATCCCACTTCAGCAGGGGACAATATTAAGGTGAAACAGTCCATGCTGTATCACTACATACTCATCTTGATAGCTATAGAGGGAAAAATTTAATGGATCACCATGCCACAAATGTAGTGTCCTCATTTTCTTAACCAAAATTAGATCCTTGACATAATGCAGTCCTTGGTTCCTGTTTCTTTGTCCCTGTCCAACAGAAGTAAATCAAGTTTACAGCCTCTCTATGGAGGTTTAAGTCCTGTGTTGATCTTTAGCGCTGACTGGAATACCCACATATTATGGGGAGAGGAAAAGTATCACCTACACTTTAAGACAAACTGTTAAGAGCACTCGATCATTTTTTTAAGTGGACCAGTTGGGAAGAAAACAATTTTCTTGCACAGCTTGTCCTTCCTCAAACTCTGAAAATGCAAAGCCAAAAGGCTGACTGGCTCCCAGAGCCTGCCGTTGTTGTCTCTGAGTGATGTACTTATTGGAGGTTTGAGACCCACCCCAGCAAGGTGCCAGCTATTCCTTAACCTGTGCTGGGGCAGTGCAGCTTGCACCGAAACAGAATGTCAAAGACCATCGGGTCTTGCAGAACTGGATGCTAATATATTCAACTTGAATATAAACTAACTGTTGTAGCACTCCAGCATAGATTACGTGTTTACCCAGCTCTCATTAAAATTAAATATTTATAAATTAATTTCTGCAGTCACTATTTTGTAATTAACACGTGCCACTAATGCATGGACAACAACAGGACACTGTGAAATGCAGAGTGATAGTGCTTCACGTGCTAAGTGTCTGAAAGAGAAAAGTCAGTGAAACCAACTCAAGTCATTTTGCAGCTAAAACTTAATAATACATAATCTTGCCCCCTTTGGCTACAGGAAGTTTACCTTCTGGGGTTGGATGCCGTGCAATGCTGTCGTGAAGCAAACACCTCCTGTATACCAAACTCTGGCAGGATTGGTAGGTTAGGAAGCACCTGTGAAAGGACAAGTGTTTTATCAAGAGGCTTGGGGCTGTATTGTTTTGTTTTGTGACCCGCTCCTATGCCCTGGCTGGAGGCTGGGTTCTGTTCCCAATGGACCTTGCTTTCTGAGAGGAAGGGCAGTAAAGAGCTACATGAAACATGAAAATTAATAATTTAGTAACTCAGGTAAATGAAACTTCACAAGTGTAACCAGTTACATATGGTCATGAAAATGAAAAAGGCTGAAAATCAGTATAGCAAGTTTCCTCATTAGCCAAAAATTTTAGCATACAGTAGAAGAGGTGTAAAGCCTGAGGGTTACTGCACAGGGGAAGAACCAGGCGTCTCTTTAAGGTGACTGTTTAGCCAAACTAGCACGTAGTATCTGTTAGGCCAAGTTCTTCGTTTCTGACAGACTACTGACTTGCCAAGCCTCCAGGGACAATCACCCATGTACCCGACACATGGGTGTTGGAATACTTCCTTTTCAAGCTGTTCCAGAACTTTTCTGACTTTTCAAACTGACTGTTTCCAGTGATTTGTTAAATCGCTTTTGTTTTCAAATGCTGAAGGAGCTAGAACAAACCCTCCTTCATGTGCTGTTCCAAAGGATGACTTGTGCTTGATTTTTCCTCACCTATTTTCCCCTGCCTCCATCCTCCCCCTGCTTGAAGAAAAAAGTTAAGACGATCAAAAGCATTTAATTTGAAAACAGTGTACTGATAAGAGAACCGATCCAATGACCTCTCTCTCATAGAAGAGGACAGGTAGACAGAAAATCTGCTTGACTGCAGCATGGATAACATGCTTCATAACTCCAACACTATGAAGTGGTTTAGGGTAGCTGTGTAAGTATGTTTCAATTATCCAGAGGAGGGCAAAAACTTTTTAAGAACCAGTTACCTGAGCCAAATATGTCCATTGGAGCAGACTGCCTGTTTGCGATCAGTGAATGGCAGGATCTCTTTACACAAGCTGCAGTGCTCTGGAAAAGTCTGTTTGTTCATTTTCTTTAAGATATGCCCAATCAGCACCTGGGAATACACAGCAGTCAGCGTTGTTTACAGCAAGACAGATGCCTAGTGAAAGGTGGAAACGTCTCTCAGGATATTGTGATTTCAGAATATAATACAGGATGCAAAGTTCTATGCTCTTCACCGAATTCAAAGAAATAAAAGCCTAAGAAATAGAATACATTGATAAGTATTAAATTATTCTCGTTTTATTGTCACCTCCTAAAGACTTCTGTCCTAAAGAGATGCAGAATTTAAGAGCAGTAGTGTTATGTTAATCTACTTTCAAATTTAAAAAATACTGAAGAAATTGTCATCGTACCACTTTACAAGATGCCACTGACCATTACAGCAATGCTTTCACGTTCTTATGTCTATCACAAAGGATGTGCTAAAAAAAAAAAGCCCTGTTCATAAGCTACCTGGATGCATGTCTTCAGCAGTTATCTCAGAGTATACATAATGTTTATAGTAGAACATTTACGTGATCAAATTTGTCTTTGACATTTCAATAGATATAAAGCACATCCCAAGGGCCTTTAAAATGTGACAGCAAACTGAATAGATAAAATAGAATTTGGAAGGCAGCTTTTAATCACTATAAAAAGAAGAATCTTGTTTACAAGATAAGAAAAGCAACCTCTCAAACCTGAATTTATAGTAACTGCATGCTAGAAAAGCACAGGAGCTCTGACAGAACGCTCTCCCAGGGAATCACTGGTGGCCACACTGTGTGTGCTGCTTAATTGCAAGTCCAGCAGAGAACAGCACACCACCTCAGCAATGGAAATGTGCTTCCTTCCTCTCTTTTGGGATGCTATGTTAAGGTTGATTTTGAGAGTTCAAGTGATTTAAGGGCTCAGGTACCGAAAAGAACTGTTCTCTGCTCATACAAAGAGGTACAGAGACATCTAAGATATTCTTGTCATCAAGTCTTAGGAGCCGGGAGGCCAAGTGGCAAAGCGTTCCCATTGAATCTTCCTTTGTCTCACATCTATATTCATGGCCCAGCATGTTCCTATCATGGTCAAGTTTCTATCATGGCCAAGCATTCAGTTCTGCCTGTTTATTGTAGTTCAGTAAGTGCAAGCGTGCCTGAAGGTTCAGGCCCTGTACGTTATAACAAAGACATTCATTCAGCTTGCTTAAGTGAAAGTCCTGCATAAAAGTTCTGAATCACTGGATTTACCTCATGGAACACAATCACTTTCTGAACTTCTGTAACTGATCTTGCCACTGAACAAGACCTGATGTACCACCTGAACTGTGACAGTACTTTCAATTATAAATACTTTAAGAAGTGATACTGCAACTCTTAAAATTAGAACAGCAGCAGCAGACTAACTGACTAGAGGAAATACCTCCTAAATTTAGTTCTCTAGAGATGATAGATTAAATAAGTTTAGCCATGAAAACAAGCATCCCTCTCAACCAGTACATGTTCTAAACCCACCAACAGCAGTGGAATAGTCCTCTCCCTTGTTCTGCCAAAACTCAGGCACACTTATTCTTTATCGTACCTGATGCAAATTTCAACACCTGTATTTACATTTCCTCCTACTCCATAATTTCAAGGAAGGACAGCTTACACTGTACGCTCTATAGAAGCTGACCGGCAAGGATGACATGATTACAGTTCTCTTTCCCACCCAAAGCTGTATTTTCATTTAAGGGTATGGAGGGGAGAGAAAGAAGGAACTTGTAACAGCGAATCCCCAGAGCATAGAGGTGCACTTACTCGTGCTGTTCTGTCATCATAGCCATCATCGGACATTAAGAAGTCACAGACTCCTCTGGTGGGAATACTGGTGTTTTCTGTAATCCATGTGTGTAGATAAACTTCTCCCAACACCCGTTTCATGTGCTCTCGAGTCAAATGCATTTCTACTGCCTCAATTTGTGCCTGTATTTCAAGAAGCTTTTCTTCCATTGGCTCGCGGCCTCCTATGTCACTTGACTGAGGAAGAGAATCCTCTGCAGTATCATCTATGTCCATACCTTTGCCCGTGTCACATAGGCCCTGCTTGCTGGCTTGTTTAGAAGTTCCTTCCTCTTGATCATCTTCAGTGCTGCCCATCCCAGGGGAATCCGATATCAAGATTTTTGCATCCTCATGTGACGGTCTCCACATGACCTCTGAGGGAGCTTTCTGCATTGACTGGTACAAAATCCTCAGGAGAAATAGCTTAAACCGCCAGAAGTAAGTAGAACCACAGCTCTCAATCTTTTTATCCAGTGCTTCCTGTAAGAACTGAGGAATATGCTTATCCTTCAAAATTTTCCAGCGTACAAGATCCGTCAAGTCCACTTGCCGGAAAAGGTTCTGAACAGAAGATTCCAAGAGCTGGGCAGCTGCCTCCTCAAAAGTCTTAAGGGTTACAAACTGAACCTGGTAGTTCTTATTAACTGGGTGCAGGCCATTAGTCATCCCCTCTGTTGTAATAACGGCTAAGTACGCCCCGCACGGGCTAACGGCTATTCCGTGAGTCCTGACGGAGCCAAACACTTCTGAGAGCTTAATCAGCTGGTGCTCAAACTTTAAAGCAACGTCCGTGAATATAGGAATCAGCTGCCTCACCTTTCCATCACTGGAGCACGTGTACACTGTGCCGTTCTGTTTGTCTGCGGTCATAGATACAATTGGCAAAGAATGAAGCCCTGTCACGTGGGAATTATGGACATTAAGACCTGCTTTGGATATCAACAGGAGACACCAAAATACGTATGCTCCTCTCGCAGCCACCACTAGGCTACAGCTACATTTCTGGTAGGGGTGGTAAAGAGGAATGCATTTGATACTGTGCACTGGTAACTGGTCCATTTCTTGCCATAAGACTACAGGTTGTCTCAGCGTAAAGTAGCCTTTGACTGCTTTTAGGTTGACAGGAAGGATCTTAACCGGTCCAAAAGCACTCCCCACAATAAGTCCACTCATCTTTCGGTTGTTATGTTCATACTCCCACCAAGACAACACACTTGGGGAATTTATTCCGGACTCTATGGTATTGCAAGAAGTAATTGATTCCTTACCCAGAAACGGAAGCTGAAATTGCCAAACTGCAATGTTACCATTTTCAAAGAGTACCGCTAAGAGCACGCTGCCGACGTCCCGGCATTCGTTGTTGTGTTTAACCTGCTGAGTGGTGCAGATGCCCGACCACTCCATGCGCACTGGAGTCTGCATGCTGTGCCGTCTCTGAAATTCAGAGAAATCTCCTAGTTCTCCCCTGGCAGTGTCAGCCTTAGAAAGTTTGTAACTGGCTTCGTACAAACGCTCCCCGTAGATTTCTGTCAGGTCCACCAGCTGCACCCACTGCAGCCTGTTGAGGTTTGCGTGGATGGTCAGTCGATTGTCCATGGTTAAAGCTGCGAGCAGGCACCTCCCGTTGGCGTCACAGCCCAGTGGGGACCAGCTGGAATACTTGAACCCTCGCATGGGTGGCAGCGACTTCCCCTCGGGATTGAACACTCGATCTAGCATAAACGTTTGGCTAACCGTTGGATCCACCGAATTTGCAAACCTTTCCTTACATTCAGCTACCTCCTTTTTTGGACCAACCTAAAAGATAACAAAAAGAACTTAAACAATTGTAGAACTTTTTTTTAAGATGAGTTTCCTGGAATTAATTCCCACTTGAAACAGATCATCCCCTATCACAACCCATACTACACTGTCTCCATGATTAATTAATGTCACTCTTAAAGACTTAAGCCTCATTGTTGGCCTGAATTTGTACAGTTTTGACTCTCAGCTACTGAATCTTTGTCTGGTCAATCAAAGACCCCGTTTTCATACTTTTGAAGTGTGTCTTTAAAGATACTTGGCATAACATTCAAACTGTAAAGCTCCCAGTATTTCAACTCAAGTTACTCCATATTCTCAATGCCCTTCTGGAAAAAAAAAAATCCACAACAGCATTATTATTTAATAAGTTATTCACCCAGACTTGCCACCCCTTTGTATGTGAAAAGTCAGATGCCCCCCCCCGAAGCCCAAAAATCCTTGCTGCAAAAATCTTTCAGCTTAGGTAGAAAACCAAGAGAGATTTGTCATGTCCCTCTCAGACGAGGGAGACTGAAATAACTGTCATCAAATTACCGTAACTCAAGTGATTCTTCGACAAAAACTGATAAACTTTAGAATCCCTGAAATCCACTTGATCCTGGATCACGTTTCACCCTGACGTTACTGGGCTGTGTATGTTTTTCTCCCCTGCGTTTTTAAAACGCATCATCGCATGAAATACTGCGCGCACTGCAAGTTGGAGGAGCAGCCCAGGGGGAGGCGGCCCCGGGGACTCCGCCGCCACCCCGGGGGGACACAGCGTGGCAG